CACACACACACACACACACACACACACACACACACACACACCCAAAGAAAAAAATCCGATGATGACGTTCCCTAAATCACTTCCAGACGGATCTCTGGGGATGACGCAGCAAGGGAGGTCTGGAGGGCAATGGCCCTGCCTGAGGTGCCAAGTGACTGACCCAGGTTGTATGAACCTCTCTGAGCAGATGAAGCTGAGAGAAGATGGCTTCTCCTACTCAGATGCTCAATAATCTGCAGCACCAATCAGTCCGTGAGTGCTGCATACCGGCTCATGACAGGCACAAGGGACAAGAATGGATGCGCGTACATAGCACGGACCTTTAGAGTTTAAACAGAGGAAGACCAGAGCAAGTTGAGAAAGGCAGAAAAGGTGACCCCACTTCCTTCATTTTCCTCAGGAACCTCTCCAGACACTGCCACCTGCCAGATTATCTCCTCAGCCAGGCACAACATGGGGGCATGAATGATTGAGACACCTCTCTTAGGAATCTAGAAGCAAATCTCTCTTCCCTACCCTTATCCCTATTGTCCCCTATCCCTCTGCCAAGAGACACAGCATTGAAATCAAGCACTAAAAGAAACCTTTAAAAGTTGTCTCGTTCAATCTACAGTCAAAAGATAGGATTGGCTGGATAAGGAGATGAAGTTTGACTTTCTCTCTTGACATTCCAATGTAATCCATTTGTACCCCAGGATCAAGAAAGGTTTCCAGACACCACCACATATGGACAATGTCTCTTCCTTGCTCTCTGTGAGCATCCTCTCCTCTAAGAAGCCTTAAGACAGGCCCCACACTGGTCACTTTAAGAGTTTTCTACCCAGTTTTGGGTTAAGCTAACATACTAAAAGCAAAACAGAAAAGGCACTGCCAGGTGCTCAGGTTTAATAACACTGAATGCCTTATGAGACATCAGGCTCATGAAAGCATGTGTACACTGGGCTGTGACAGCAAGTACTTCTTATTAGAAAAGCATAGTAAGACAATGAAAGTTGCTGCTTAGAACACTCTGTCACCCACCACCTACACACAGGACAACTTCTAAAGCTGACCAGGCCCTGTAGGCTCCCAGGGCCTTCCTGGTGACCTCTCTGTGCTACTCTGCTCTGCTGTGTCCTCAGGGGCCACCTACGCAGCTCCACTGAAGCCTCCCGTCTAGACGAGATGAAATACGGCGTCCTGGCTTATGTTCGAGGCTTCTGGTTTGCTCGTTTTATCCCAAACCCTCACTTCCCTGAAGACAGTGAACTTCAGCTTTGCCGTCTTCCATCCCCCCGTGCCTGGAGAATGCTCAGTACGTGCTCCCTGTTGACTAACCTAAATCTCTCTTGATTTAGCAAATATTTGCACTGCCATTATAAAATTCATTCTCTTTTAAACAATTAAATCATGTTTCAATCTTTCAAAAATACATTTATAGGGTAAATGGGTCCAACTTCCTTAGCTCTTCCACAAAAAGGCCAGTTTTCCAAGATTTTTAATCATGTATACTTCCCGCAAATTTCTTCACGACTAAGATGCCAAACCTCATAAATTCAATCAGGGTGAGCCAGTGTCTCCCTCACAAGAATCAACCAGATGGTGGGTGAGTCTGCAAGTCTGCAGACTCTGGGTCCCATTCTAAAGATTCTGACCCAGGGATTTAAGAGGATTCCCAGGAGTCCAATAGGTCCAGAGCTATTCTCACTGTTCCCACTCAAGGACATCTAGCATCTAGCCAAGGCTTGCTAGAGACTTTATGTGAACCAATTCTGTCCTCCACAGAGGTTGCTAGAAACAAATGTTCAGAAGAAAGATTAACATGCAAAGCCTCACTTAGTCTCACTGTATGCATATAAAGAAAAATTCAGAAGAATTCTACACACCATGTAGAAACTGATACAAAGAAAACAAGGCCACGGTTGCGGTAAAGGCCAGAATGTAGGTTAGGAGGTGGGGTGTTGTGTCTGGTGAGAAGGGATACATGGAACTACACAGAGGCCCTGGTCTGTTCTGCAACCTGGTTAGTGGTTCCATAGACACTCACTTGGTAACTATCCGTTAAACCATATATCTGTGTATGTCTTCTATAGGAAACTAGCAAATCACATTTCTCCTACTCCCTCCCTCTCCCATTTACAGAACAATAACATCTCGTGGGTCAGTTTCTGGCTAAATTGACATTGGGTCAAGGGGTTATGGATGGACACATTCCCACCCATTTCTTTATTTCTACTATTAAGACAAACCTGCTGCCAAAACCTGGCTCTTAATTGTCTGGGAGATTCATAAACACACACAGTGATAAAGCTACAGGTTTTCATCAGATTCATGCACATACACATAAAACATGTATGTAGTTTCAAAGGGTCTCACTGAGCTTCCCAGGTTGGTCTCAAACTTGATCTGTAGCCATGGGAATCCTTAACCTTGTGTAGCTCCTCCCTCAGCCTGTGGACTGGTTGAGATGATGGGTCTACACCATCAAACTGAGCTTATTATTCTTGAACTAGACGATCTGCCCCATTCCTGTCTAGCTAATACTCCACGAATCTTTTTACCATCTACAATAAACATCTACTTCTACAGCTACAATCTGACAGTCCATTATGTGGAGGCAGGTAACACTTTAATGCAAAATTTCTACTACGTTCCTCTGAAATCACATTTTAAAGGACCCTAGAGAAAGCTCCCTGGACACAAAATTATTTTATTGAATGCAGCTTCGTTTTTCCAGGAGACTGTTTAAACAGACGTTATTTCAACAGAGCAGGAGGCCACATTTGCAAGTTCAGGAAGCCATATGTTACACTCCAGAGACATGTGTAATGTGTCAGCTATGAAGGGCTGCATGTGGGAAAGGCAGACCTTACCCTCAATGTGGGCTCCCGACATTCCTGCTAATATATCACAAGTGAGATTTTCAGTGGCTAGCCAGTAAGTCTCCTAGCTATCAAATCATTTCCAAATGACACCTACTTGCTCACAGCTCTTTTCTTGAAGCTTGGCCTCTGAAAGCCCTGACTGTCTCCATCCAAGGGAGCAAATGGCATGTCATGGTGACGAATGCTGGGGCTCTGGCAACTAGCAACATCTGCCCTTGGCCAGACATGGCATCATCTTCTTTTATTTTGGTTTAACCAAGAAAAACTAAAAAACCAGTGGAAATCCAGTGGTCACAGATATCTGGTCAATGGCAGGCTTGAGTTTTGAAATAGATCAGTCCAGGCAAAGTAGTCTAGTGGCACAGAAGTGAGCCAGGAGGGAAAAAAAGATAGTTCTTGGAGTCATTAAGAAAGATGCTAAGGCCCAAAGCACTACAACCTGAAATAGCTCTTGTTGTATAGGGTTTCCTGGAGCAGTCATCAGGGGAAACCTATTTGATAGATTATGTTTAGAAATGTTTCATTTTTCTGCCTAGTTTGTAGAGAAGAGCGGATTGTTTTGCCAATATAATCAGCAAAGCGAATGTAGAAGGCAAATTGTATTTGTACTGGGAAGGTTTCAGATTCATGCTATACAGGAAAAAAAATGTACATACTTTAAAATTTTAAAAGGGGATGATAAACAGGCAAGCTTCATGGCCCTAACTAGTTTTCTCTGTCACTGTAATAACCAATGCTTAGTAATGTCTACCTACTAGATGTAAAGTAATAAAGAGGCTATAGATGTTTGTTACAAAGAGACAAGACCTATCATTTGCTCATTCATTCAACAAGTATTTATT